GTGACAGTAGGTAATAAATCTAATATGAATATTTGGAAAGAGGCTTTGATTGCACCTTAAAGATCATGTCTGCCAACCTCTCAATCTCAACTTGCAGCTTCATCTTGTTTTTGATCTTCTGAATAATGCAGGTAATTAGAACTGGTATTTACTTCGTAGTCTCTTCTTTCAGCAAGTTTTAGACAAAATTAGGGTTATTCCCCCCCCTTTTATTTATGTTTCGTTTTCAGATTCTTGCCTTCAGAGTGACTCCAAGACAAGGATTTTCTCCATTCAGTATGTAAGGCATTTTACACAAACCCTCGGATGTTAAATCTTCTTCCAGATGGAGTAAAATATGGAATTTACAAGTCCCTGAGTGGATTCTAATCTTCGTTTGGAAAATAGGACTTAAGGGTCTTGTCACTAATAAGTATCTTAATCTTCTCGAATTGAGAAATAATCTTTGTGATATCTGTGGTTCTCATCCTGAATCAGTTCCCCACTCTCTTCGAGATTTCTCTTTGCCTAAAACCTTTTGGAATCAATTGATCGACCACAATTTTAAGGAGCAATTTTTCTCTTGTTCGCTGTTTGACTAGATTAATGTCAACCTCTCACATTGTCTTCCTCAGGCGATGGATAATTGGTCTGTTGTGTGAGCCTTTGGTTGCCATCGTCTTTGGTATTGGAGGAATAAAATTCTTCACGATTTGAATTATGTCTTGCCTTCTAATCTGGTGCATGAAGTACACAAAGATGCATCGCTTTATCGCTCCAGCAAAAGTTTTTCCGCTAGACTTCAGCCCTTGTCTAAGGTTCCAAAGGCTATCCACTGGTGTCTGCCTCCTTTTGGATGAGATTGCCTCAACTCCAATGGAGCTATTCATAGTGATTCCATTGTCAAATGTGGAGGAATTTTCTATGACAGTCAACGAAACTGGCTTGGAGGCTTTCATAAACACATTGATGTTTGTAATAGTACTTTGGCATAATTTTGGAGTGTGCTTATAGGTTTAGATCTTACTTGGAAGAAATGCTTTAAGAAGCTTTCGGTTCAAATTGACAATTTTTCTATTGTTTCAGCTTTTCATAACCAGTCGTGGCCTCAACAACAAGGAGCTATTTTGACTAGACATATTTTTCAGAGCCTTTACCATTTTGAAGAAGTTCATTTCAAGCATGTTTTTAGAGAAGCTAATTAGTGTACCGACTTTTTAGCTAAACTTTTCTTAAATAATAATGTGTATTGTGTCTGGTTTGACTCTTGTCCGATAGATTTAATGAATGTCTTTAGTTTGAATTGGTTTAGTGTATATGTTAGACTTATAACCTAGTCTTTCCTTGTTTGGGGCTGTGGCCCACCCTTGTCTAAACAAACAAATGTTCTAGAACTTCCAATTTGCATATGAAACATCAATAACAAACATAATTGGAATCACATACAACTATCACATTTTTCTAAAACGACTTATAAAAAACACATATTTTTTTTTATAAATTATAAATATAAATATAAATTCTATTTCACGTAAGCATTTTATTTTAAAAATACATTTTTAAAATAAACTTAAATACAAATACAAAATGGATTAATTTTGTTTCTCTTTTATATTTTATATAAAATTATTGAAATTATTTTTACATATTTTTATAAATATTTTAAAAAGACACAAAAATTATTTCTTTTATAGTAAATGTGAGATATTAATTTTTTAATAAGTTATTACGGATGAAGTATATTTTAGTGATTAAATTACCCATCCTTTAAACTATTGAGATAGTAGAGAGTAATATCTTGCATATAAAATAGAGATAGTAGAGAGAGTAATATCTTGTATCAGGATTGCTATGTTGACACCCATCTTTACACCCTACACCTCAATTACTGTTCACAAATACTTGAACAAATTCCCTAGAACATGGTTAATAGTGTGTATTTTATTGGTTAATGAAGTAGTAAAAGTGGTTAATAAATTATAGGTAAAATAATTGGTTAATAATGTAGATTTTTGTGGTTAATGCAACTGTGAAGTTGGTTAATGCGCAATCTTATATTTGTGTTATAAAATAAATTTTAAAAATAAAACTTTTTTAAAAAAAAATTAATATTTTAAAAAAATATATTATTTTAATAAAAAAAACACTGTTCACCGTATAAATACGGTGAATAGTGCATACGATGTAAGTATTGGGTGTAGGAAATGGTGTAGGAATAGCATTTTTCTATCTTGTATACATATATAAAATACAGTGCATGTGTATAATTGAGTATCATAGGAACATTTATGATAAAATAATGATAGAAAATAGAGTAATTCCTGTACTTGTTTGATGGCCTACAGAAAAGAAAACACAGCTAGTCACATGCAGGAGTAGGTGCTCTTTATTTGTTCTTAGGGCAAAGCGAACACGTACCATCAAAAAATAATGACGAATGATTCAGACAGACAATGTCGAGTGTCGGTAGATTCAGATTCAAACTATGTTATAATGATCGAAAGAATAGTTTTTAATATGATTTAATTATCGATTGCTTGATATATATATATATATATATATATATATATATATATATATATATATATATATATATATATATATATATATATATATATATATATATATATATATATATATATATATATATATATATATATATATATATATATATATATATATATATATATATATTTTATAAAATCACTTTTGATATTTTTAATCTATTCTATACCATTTTGGAGTGATTTATTGAATTTGGTTTATTTCTTGAAACTTATATATATATATATATATATATATATATATATATATATATATATATATATATATATATATATATATATATATATATATATATATATATATATATATATATATATATATATATATATATATATATATATATATATATATATATATATATATATATATAAATTTTAAGAAATAAACCAAATTCAATAAATCACTCCAAAATGGTATATAATAGATTAAAAATATCAAAAGTGATTTTATAAGATAACTAAATAAAAACACACACCACAAATAATATAAGACGAACCCACTTAGACTAACTCTAGCGTTGGTTTTTTACTCAAGTTCGCTAGGCTGACATATTATACATGCATTAAATATTACTGAAATTATTTTTAAGTGGCGGGCGTTGCTTACGATTCAACCGTACGACACATTTGTTAACGGCTACTTTGCATTAAATAATATATTAAAATATAATAAAATGAGCCGTTTCAACGGCTACTTATTTTTTTATTTTATTTTTTAAAACTTATTTTTTATTATAAATATAATTTTGGTTTCCAAAAATTTACCAACACAAATTTCTCTCACTTTTATTTTCTCTTCAATTTGAAATTTCTCTCTTACAATTTCATCATTTTATTCCTATACTTTTAATTTTTTTTCAACAATTTTTTCTCATTAGCATTTTTTTTACAAAATATTTAAATCAATTTCATCTTTTTACTTCAAATTACAATTGTTTTGGCCAAATGGATCCTAATCATTTTCATTATCAACAAGCTTTTTTCAATTAAATGCAAAATTCTCAAAATCTTAATCCTCAAAATTCTCAAATTCCACTGGTGCCAACAAACCCCGCCATATTTCTTCCGTCACCAAACAATCCAAATATGTATCCTATACCTCAAATGAATTCTAATAGTATGGAATTCTCTACTCAAGTTCCACCATTTTCTACTCAAATCCCACGATTTTCTACTCAAGTTGGTACTGAAAAAGAAGAAATGGTTGTCGTTAAAAAAAGATCTCGAGAGTAATTTACAAGGGAAGAGGATATACTACTTATCCAATCATGGCTCAATGTTTCAAAGGATCCAATTGTGGGAGTTGATCAAAAGGCTGAGAGTTTTGGTTAAGAATTGCTGCTAGTTATAACCAATATCGTGGACAATTGCGGGAAAAGTTAGGGGGACAGTTAAAATGTCGATGGCATAGAATAAATGGCATGGTTCAAAAATTTGTTGGGTGTTACAAAATTGCTCTTAAAGGAAAGAAAAGTGGGACATCCGAGACCGATGTCATGGCAGATGCACATGCTATTTTTGCTCAAGATCAAGGTACAACATTCAATCTTGAGTATGCATAGCTGTTAAAAGATGAAGTTAAATGGCGCATCGTCGAAGAATCGATTGGAAGTTCTGCAAAAATAACAAAGGCTTATGCTAGTGGGGCATCATCGGAGAATCCATATACAACTTCAAGTTATGAGTTTAACTCATCATCACCAATGGAGCATCCAATGGGACAAAAAGCAGCAAAAAGGAAGGGTAAGGCATCAAAAATTCCAAATGCAACACAAGATGCAAAGAATAAAAGAGCAATAACAATGGACAGACTTGCGCAAGCTAAGGAGGACGAGCTAGAATTAAGGGTAATGCAAATGATGATGAAAGACACTTCTACTATGAACGATAGTCAACGAGATATTCATGAAAAATATTGTAATAAGATGAAAAAAAATATGGAATGTAGTTAGTATCACTTATGTAAAATGGTCATTAGTACCACTTTAATTTATCAACACCTATGTAAAATGGTCATTAGTACCACTTTAATTTATCAACACCTATGTAAAATGGTCATTAGTACCACTTTAATTTATCAACACCTATATAAAATGGTCATTAGTACCACTTTAATTTAAACTAGCCGTTATTCAAACTAGCCGTTATTCAAACTAGCCATTATATATATATATATATATATATATATATATATATATATATATATATATATATATATATATATATATATATATATATATATATATATATATATATATATATATATATATATATATATATATATATATATATATATATATATATATATATATATATATATATATATATATATATATATATATATATATATATATATATATATATATATATATATATATATATATACTACCACTTATGTCATTGTTCTCTCATTCTCATCTTATTCTTCTCATTTTTCTCTCATTCTTTACTCACTAAATGGATTCAGACAATTCAGATACTTACGATCAAGAATTTTGGGAGTTGGTTGAAGAAGAATTTATGGACGACAATGATGAAGAGCAACAACTTCAAAATGAACGTCGATCTGGAAGTTCCTCTAGGCCAAAGAGAAGAACAACGGTAGATCGAGGTCGTGAAGAAGGGCACAATCGATTATTCAATGACTATTTCTCGGAAAACCCAGTATACACAGATGTTCAATTCCGAAGAAGGTTCAGAATGCATAGGCATGCATTTATTCGAATTGTAGATGCCCTTGGAAATCATTATGAATATTTTCAAATGAGGGTCGATGCAACAGGTAAAATGGGTCTTTCACCATTGCAGAAATGTACATCTGTTATTCGTATGTTGGCGTATGGGTCTCCTGCTGACCTTGTAGACAAATATGTTCGAATCGGTGAAAGCACTTCAATTGAGTGCTTAGAAAGATTTGTTAAGGGTGTCAATGTTGTATTTGGCGTTGAGTATTTGAGAAAGCCTAACAACATTGATATTGAACATCTTTTTACAAATGGGAGAGTCATGTGGCTTTCCAGGTATGTTGGGTTCCATCGATTGTATGCATTGGGTATGGAAAAGTTGTCCTGTTGCATGGAAAGGACAATTTTGTCGAGGTGATCATGGTAAGCCCACCATCATGCTTGAAGCAGTGGCATCACAAGACTTATGGATTTAGCATGCTTTTTTTGGTATTGCAGGTTCAAACAATGACATTAATGTGCTAAACTAATCCAGCGTGTTTAACAATATTTTGGAAGGACGTGCTCCCAATGTGCAATATACAATCAATGGGACACCATATAATATGGGGTATTATTTAGCAGATGGTATATATCCCGAGTGGGCTACATTTGTCAAGACTATTTCAATGCCACAGGGAGAAAAGAAAAAATTATTTGCTCAACATCAAGAATCGGCTAGAAAAGATGTGGAGCGAGCATTTGGAGTGCTTCGATCTCGATTTGCAATTATACGCGGCCCATCGCGTGCCTGGTACATGGACACTCTCAAGCATACCATATATGCCTGCATCATATTGCACAACATGATTGTGGAAGACGAACGACATACATATGAAGGTAATTTTGATTACTCTTATGCTAATGTGGATATCAATAACTCAACAACTGAAACATTTAGCGGTCTTCATCCGAATCTTGCAACAAGACTACAAAGAAGAGCAAGTATTCAAGAAAAACAAGTTCATCGTAAACTTCAAGGAGATCTAATCGAATATATTTGGGAACGTTTTGGACATGAAGATGATGCAATTTAAGTTTGATTAATTATGTGATGTTATTTATTTTTATTGTTTTTAATTATATATCATGTATTTGAGATTAATTTTAATTATCATTTTAAATTATAAGTTTAATTTAATTTTTTTTTATTTTATATCAAATTTAATTTAAAACACTAAAATTAACTAAGGAGAGATTGAAATATTTTTTTAAATTTAATTTAATTTTTTTTAAGTTTATATAGTAAAAAATTAAAATTATTATTTAAATGATATAAAATTTAATATGAATAAAATATTAATATATAAAGTAAAGTTGTGGGACCTAATATGAGTTCTTCAGAGTTACACCATTGAAATGAAAAATTAGTTAAGTTGCTTCAAACTAACATAGCTTAATAGGTCCAAAAAAATCCCAAAATAGATTCACCATTCACTTATTAGCATAGCGTATGAACCAACCGCTAATACAAGCTGATTCACAAAAAAAACAATGTCTAGGAAAAAAACGAGCAAGCAATACAACTCTTTTGAATCTTAAACAATCGAACATCAAATAGAATGATATGGATACAAAAATAATTCCACATCAATCCTAAAGACTGATGTGAATATTAAGTTAGTGTCGATGCAGATGCAAACCGCAAATCTTAAAATTTGAAGATCTCAATATATCTGAAAACAATTAAAGAATCAAAAGTTCAAGATGTCAACTTTGCACCAAAAATATAAACCTGCACTAGACCCATTGAAGAATTTGTTCCCACATGTGTAGTACGTTATAACTTTACACGTCCCTAATTAATTAAATAAAAAAGCTTAAACAAATTAAATTTATTTATTTTCAAAAAAATTTAAAATCCCAAAAAATTCTCTTTCCACGTTTCCATTTAGGAAACTTTTTTTATAAATAAAAGCCTTATGTATTGAAAATAAGAAGCTTACAAAAGGTGCCCGAACAAAAGTCCATCAAAATATTAAAATCTGAAAAATATGTATTTAGGCTATTTTGTACAAAATCTTTTCTCATATCACTTGGATTTGAGTTAACAATAATAAGGAAACTAGAACAATATTAGTCATAAAATATTGTGAATCAGATACCTTAAAATTAAGTATAAACAATTTTTTATTGATCAAGAAACAACAAGGATTAGTTATTAAACTATTATTTTTTCCTTTCTCTTAAAACAAGATTACAAATATACAAGAATAACAAAATAACCTCTCTCTCTCTTGAAATTAGGATTTTATCTTCCTATTTTTCCTTATCATAAGATTGAGAAACTAGTATCCTATTTATAAGAAAAATAGCACACTAACCTAATGAGCTTTTTTAACAATTACCCATTACAAGCTAACTTAAACAATTGGGCTTACAAGTAAGGCCCAATTCAACATGCTAACAACCCTAGCAATATTGGCTAATGCATGTTAGAACAAACTTCTACTACAACACGCATTATTCGCGAACAGACTTCGATTATACTAGAGTTCGATCCAACATCTCACAAATCTCCACCTTGGATCTAACTCTATAACATCAAGAAACTAGCTTTCTTCATACAACTTTATTATCTGCATACAGTGGAAAAACTTGCAACTGGGCAACGTCTTGGTGATCATATCAGCAGCATTATGATATGTCGAAACCTTCAGCACTTGGACTTCTCCACGCTCGATTACCCCTCTGATGAAATGCAGCCTCACATCAATGTGTTTGGTTCGCTCATGATAAACTGAATTCTTCGACAGGTGTATTGCACTTTGACTATCACATTTAACAGTGATAACTCGACCTTGAAGTTTTAGCTCCTTTGCAAAACCTTCAAGCCACAATGCTTCCTTCACAGCTTCAGTTAGGGCAATATACTCCGCTTCAGTGGTTGATAAGGCAACGACCTTCTGAAGTGTTGCTTTCCAACTGATTGTTGTCTCAAACATAGTGAACACATATCCAGAGATAGATTTTCTAGAATCCATACAACCTGCATAATCAGAGTCTACATATCCTTCGACTGCTGCTTTACTATCTTCACCTAAGGCTCCACCATAAATTAAGACTCTATTTAGAGACCCATTTATGTACCTTAAAATCCACTTCAATGCTTACCAGTGAGTCTTTCCAGGATTCGCCATGTACCTGCTTACAAGACTTACTGCATATGCTATGTCGGGTCTAGTACAAACCATAACATATATCAAAGAACCAACTATGTTAGCATATGGAATGCTATTCATATAAGTTCTTTCAACATCAGTGTTGGAACACTGATCTATACTCAACTTGAATTGAGGGTTTGTCGGAGTCACAACATACTCTGAACTCGACATACCAAACTTTTCGAGAACCTTCTATAGGTATGCCTCTTGAGATAAGCATAATTTTGACTGCTTTCTATCTCTCGGGATGTCAATTCTAAGAATCCTGGACGCAGCTCCCAGATCCTTCATGTCGAACTCTTTATTGAGTTCAACCTTCACCCTCATTACCTCTTCGACATTGGTTCTTTCTATTAGAATATCATCCACGTAGAGCAACGAAATAACAAGTGAATTACCCAGTCGAAATCTGAAGTAAACACAGTGGTCGAACTGACTTTTGATGAAACTTATGTGTGTCATGAACTTGTCGAATCTCCTATTCCACTGTCGAGGAGATTGTTTCAGTCCATATAAAGATCTATTCAGTTTGCGCATATAATCTTCCTTCCCCCTTTCGACATACCCTTCAGGTTGCCTCATCAGAATTGTTTCATCTAGTTCACCATACAAGAATGCAGTCTTCACATCCATCTGTTCCAGTTCAAGGTCGAACTGGGCCACCATGGCAAGCAACATTCGAATGGATCTATGCTTCACAACAGGAGAGAACACATCATTGAAGTCGATACCTTCTTTCTGATTGAACCCTATAGCAACCAATCTTGCCTTGTATCTCTTCGACGCCACTCCTTCGATTCCTTCCTTAACTTTTAAAATCCATTTACAGCTGACTAACCTGGCTCCAGCAGGTTTCATGATCAGTTCCCAGGTGTTGTTATCATGAAGAGATTTCATTTCATCGTCCATGGCCTTCAGCCATTCAGTCTTCTTTCGACTCCTCGTAACTTCCTTATAGTCTCTAGGTTCTTCATCTAAAACCTCACTAGCAGAGATTAAGGCATAAGCTATAAGATTTGCATACCCAAGTCTCTGAGGTGGCTTGATGACTCTCCTTGACCTGTTTCTTGCTAGCAGGTAGTCATTATCAGTCTCCTCATCTTCGACAACATCTTCTGCGTCGTCTTCAACTTCATCTGGGGTAAGCAATTCAGCATCAACATGCTCTACCTCAACATGAATCTCTCCTTGTTCCAGCTCTTCGTCAGCATCATCAGTTTTCTTAAAAGCCATATCTATTTCATTAAAAACTACATCTTGACTGGTGACACGCCTCTTGTGACCTAGCTCTAGGCACCATAACCTATAAGCTTTGACTCCTTCAAGGTGTCCCATGAACATGCATTTCAGAGCTCTAGGTTTGACCTTGTCTTGCCTAATATGAGCATAGGCCACACAGCCAAATACTCTCAGTCTGTCGAGACTAGGTGGATGTCCCGACCAAACTTCTTCAGGTGTTTTCATTCCCAAGGCAGTCGAGAGACATCTATTTATCAGGTAAGCTGTTGTCGAAATAGCTTCCGCCCAAAACACCTTCTTCAATCCAGCACTAACCAACATGCATCTAACCTTTTCAAGGATTGTTCGATTGAATCTCTCAGCTAAGCCATTTTGTTGAGGAGTACCTGCTACAATCTTATGCCTTGCAATCCCAGACTCAACACAGTAACTGTTGAACGCTTCGTTGCAGAATTCAAGGCCATTGTCGGTTCTCAACCTCTTAACCTTTCTGCCAGTTTGAGTTTCGACCAAAATCTTCCAACTTTTGAAATTCTCAAAAGTTTCATCCTTCGTCTTCTGAATGAATACCCATAGCTTTTTAGAATAGTCATCAACGATGGATAGAAAATATCTTGCACCTGAGTGTGAAGGATTCCTTGCAGGCCCCCAAAGATCAGCATGAATGTGATCCAGGGATCCATGTGTTCTTTGCTTGCCTTTGTTAAACTTCGCCCTACAGGATTTACCAAGTACACAAAATTCACAAAATTCCAACTTTTTGACTTTGTCACCTCCTAGTAGGTTCTGCTTCCCTAATTCGATCAAGCCTTTTTCGCTGACATGGCCCAATCTCATGTGCCTTAATTCTATCTTTGACATAGGTTTCGTGGATGCAACATTTGTCGAACCACTTACAATCTCAACCTCAAGGGTATACAAGCTTTGTTTCTTCACGCCTCTCAAGATTTCCTTCGACCTCTTCATAACTCTTAGG